AGATAGATAGATAGATAGATAGATAGATAGATAGATAGATAGATAGATAGATAGATCTTTAAACTCTGTGTGTTGCTGCACCACAGTGAGTTCTTCATGCCTGGAATGATCGACACCCACATTCACGCATCTCAGTACAGCTATGCCGGCACAGCTCTGGACCTGCCTTTGCTGCAGTGGCTCAATACTTACACCTTCCCAGTCGAGTCACGCTTCAAGGACCTAGAGTTTGCTCAAAAGGTCTACAGTCAAGTAGTGGTGAGTTTCCTTACATCTTCAAACCATGTAAAACGTTTGTTTCAAAGACATGCAGCAAGCCAAAGCTGAGCTTTTTTTAACCAAGGATTGACACTGGATGTTTACAGTTGCCGAAGTGAAATCACACAAAACTGGAACCTGACCTAACCCCAAAAAAAGAAATGTCTAGAATAGGGTGCTGATCCTGTAATTTGACGGCTGTGATTCACAGAAAAGGACCTTACGAAATGGAACAACCACAGCATGCTACTTTGCCACCATACACACCGACGCTTCTCTTTTGTTGGGTCAGATTGCAAGTAAGTTCTCCAGCTCTCAGACGAAACACCTCTTTTCACCCGTGATGCTGTTGACGTTTACATTAACATTTACAAGCAGAGTTCCACTTACAAAAAGGGATCATGGGGATCACGTATTTTGTTTGGCCATGTGAGGAATCTAATGAAAGATCTCAATCAATCAGTTCAAGTCCAGCAGGTTGAGCCCGTTTTGACCACGTTTATTCTCTTCTCAGTTTCCTTTTCTATAAAAACAGAATGTTCCTTCACCTTTCTGCCTTGTCCTTATCATCCCAGTGACACATTGCATAATAAAGAACACACGCTGGTATAAATGTGTAACGAAGTAACCATACTGAATTGAACATTGGCTCTGGCAGCTTTACACAGTCAGTTTATGTAATCAGGGTCATTGTACCCTCAACTTTGTACTGTCCCGACCAGCTGATCCTTACTGTAGAAAAACAATCAATGTAAGCATATGTGTGGGCGCATAACCGTGTTTCACATGATGCTTTCACATTCCTGGTGTTGTATGAAGAACACAAAGAGAAAATCTTGAAAGGCACTCTGTCATAAATGCATGTTTTCGGATTTATTTGACAGAGCACAAGGAAAATGATATATAATTCTAATATAAAACACTATGAGAAACGTTCTGAATATATTCATGACTGTATCTGTAATAGATTCTAAAGAAAGCAATGCAATGAAAATGAGTGTGACCAGTTTACAGGTTTGAGATAGGATCGCTGTACCTGCTCTTTATCTTCTTTTGAGTACCAAACTTTCTGGTATGAAACCCTCTGTTACATCACTGCTATGGCGAATCATTGATGCAGCCATGTTTGGAATGATTTTAAAAAGAACATTTTCTTGAGCAGACAACGATAACGGGAACATTTAGAAGCAAAGCTAATCTTTCCTGTCACATGTCTGTGTGTTGAGCATTTTTCTGTCCGTAACTAAAACTCAGTGCTGTGACGGGAAATTTTTCCACATCTCGACGCAACAGGAAACACCCTGATGTGAAAAATAACATGGATTAAGGCTGTGTTCCACTTGACTGCCTCAGTCTTAGACTACTGGTGAATGCCTGCAGAAAGGCGTAATCTTTGTGAATATTTTCACCCTGAGAGTGTATCATCAAGTGAGTACGTTGTGACGTTAGAGCGGAGTGTAACCCTGGAAACACCTATGCCAGCAGTCACTACAACAAAGACATAATGTAACACTAAGCCTGTCTTTCATGATATATTTTGAGAGGCCGCACTGACTCAGCTTTTGTGTAAAATTAAGATATAAAGTTGTGGAGTTATGTTTCAAATGGAGGCCATGTTTGCAGACGGGCTGGAATTTCTCATTGGCATATTAGTCAGCAACTGAAATTGAGTGTACAGGATATTTTGCAATGACCAGTGAACATTGTGGAATACCAACCCTTTTCCAGTTGATCCCCAAAATAAAATTCTAAACCTTTGATGAGGCATTCATGATCTCTCCTTGTCGTTGCAGACGACTGTGGACAGCGTGCGCTGGTGGGAAAGGTGTGTATGGACAGAAACAGCTCTGTAAAGCATTACAAAGAAACCATCCAGGAGTCTCAAGATGAAACTTATCGGTAAGCCTTCATCAGCCCTTTAATATAAGTAATGCTTAAAGAAAACCCCAGCATTAAAGAAATGCTTTCTTTAATCATTTAGGAGATTTAGAATAACAATGGAATGAAAAATAACAACAATTTGTTGGGATGTTAAATCTATGTCATCCTAGAGATGCTGTAAACTGCGAGTGCTTTCTCGTCATTTTCAAGCAGTGTTTTAAATGATACAGACAACAAAGCTGGTCGGTGATAACCAGCTGCCCAACTGCTGAGGCAGTAAAGTAGCCCAAACCATAGTAACCCCACCACTGTGCTTCCCTGCAGGTTTTAATTTTCCTCCTAACAAATCTCAAGGGTGCATTATTCGAACTGCATACAATGCACTCTTTTTATTTTGTTGTTCGAGACAGGTTGTTCTTATGAGTAAAAGATTAGGTCAGAATAATTTGGAGATGGTTTCAAATCCCAGACTTCTGGTTGTCCACATGAACCATTAAGATCATTTTACAAAGACACCCTATTGTTCAACAGCAACCTGTTGCTTGGGAATTTTGAGTATGTAAATAGGAGAGGCTGCATGGTGATCTGGTGGAACTTTTCAGGGGGTTTATTCAGAAATATGTCAAGGACAAGGTTGTTCACAGCTAGAGATTTTCTTGATGGCATTCAGTTTGTCTCTGAGGAAAAGCAAAATTGTCATGGCAGCAGAGTGGCCATGCATTAATGAGACACAGTTCTTGTATGACAGAGGATTCATTGTTTCCTTTTAGCTAAAAATATAGTCCTATTACGCTGCTATACATTTAAGTTTAAGATGCAGATGTGTAGAGTAAAGGCATACAAATTATTGCTTGACTAAATCAATTAATGATCAATGTTTTGCTCCCATAAGGTTCATCAAAGAGTTCTTGAAGAAAAAGGTAAGATTAGCTAACAGAGCTTATTAACAGAGCAAACTAAATAATACTATGCGGAAGATTGAACTGGTTCATATTAATGTTTGTTTATACATCTATTTATGTCTATCGTGACTGTTTTTTTATAGTACCCTCTGGTAAAGCCCGTGGTGACTCCCCGCTTCGCTCCATCCTGCACAGAAGAGTTGCTCGCACAGCTGGGAGAAATCGCAAAGAATAACAACCTGCACATTCAGGTGAGTTCACTGTGGAAACCAACCCAGGAGACTGTTTCCACAGAGGCCACTGAATGTTTGATCCAAAAGGTTTCCAAGGATGGTGGAGCACGGCTCCCCTTTAGGGTTCACAGTTAAAATCTCCTAAAGTGCTGCTTGTGTATTTGCCTTTAATTCCAGAGTCATATCAGTGAAAACATGGAGGAAATTAAGCTTGTACAGGAGCTGTTTCCTGACTCGGAGTCATATACAGATGTCTATTACAAACACAGCCTGCTCACTGATAAGGTGAGAACACAAACTCAGCCAGAACCAACCATGGTCAACATTTATCTGCAAATTGAAAGCCAATATAAAAAGGGACCATCATTGATCTTGGTCATGATGTGGGTAATTCACAGACAGTGATGGCCCATGGCTGCCACCTCACCGATAAAGAGCTGGCTCTGTTCAAGGAGACAGGAGCCTCTTTGTCTCACTGCCCTAATTCCAACTTTTCGTAAGTCTCTACACTCAGAACTACTATATGGGACCTAACACTTCAAACTAAGGTCAAATGAAATGATCAATATGCTTTGATATTGAGTGTACTTATTATCAGACTGTAAAGGAAACATAGCATCAAACAATGCACTCTGCATTAAAACAGGGAGGTAGTAGCATGAAATATATTTGGATCTAGTCCAGATAGTAACTGGAGTAGTGTAAATACTCCTGGGTGGATCATGTGACAGCAAAGAAAAGCAGTGTACATTGTAATTATTTCTTACTGTGGTTTTTTGTTTATGTTTCAGGTTGTGCAGTGGAGTGTTAGATGTACGCAATGTCCTGAATCACAAAGTGAAACTGGGGCTTGGAACGGGTGCGTGCTTCTTTTTACGTGTTAGGTTGTGCAGCCTCGCCTTAGACTTGGAAAAGCGCTCTGTTTGAGCAGTCACTTCAGTGTTTTGGGCAGAGTAGTCAGCTGAGAGGTCTGCGTGCAGGTCAGGCCACAACCAGATGATCGCTGAAGAGAAAAAAAAGAAAGAAAAAGATTTCTGTGTTTAAACTTTCCAATAGACGTGGCAGTTTTTATATTTGTGGTACATGTTAAAAAATGCTTATAACTGTGTCTGCATGCTTGTTTTTTTACGTGTTTGTGGTGCTGCACCAGATGTGGCAGGTGGCTACTCATCTTCAATGCTGGATGCTGTAAGAAGAGCTCTAGATGCATCTAAAGTCCTAACCATCCAGAACCCAGAGCATGAAACACTTACCTTTGAAGAGGTGTTCAGACTTGCCACACTGGGGGGCAGCCAAGGTAAGGAAATAAATTGATGCAACTCAGAAAAAGCATTCCCCAAACAGGATGACTTCAGATGATCAGCTCGTGGGTTGGTAGGATCCTCCTCCCCTCCAGAAACACTGAGGAGAGAGAGAGATCTGATCACTGGAAACAAACTATTAAAACTGAAAAGTGAAGCTGTTTTAGGGGCTAGCCTTTATACTGTGAGTAAATGAATCTATTTGCTGGAATAGATTCTTTCACAATGCACGTTCTGTCTGCAGCCCTATCTCTGGATGACAAAACTGGAAACTTTGAAGTGGGTAAAGACTTTGATGCTTTGAGGGTTAACGTGGCGACTCCTGGTGGACCAATTGATCTGATCCAGTGCGACGGACCAAAAGTTAGTGGATTTATTTTGATATAGCCTGATGAGATTGAAAAGTCATGTTTAAGTTTTACATTCATTTATAATTATTTTACTTTTCTAGATTCTTTTGGAAAAGTTCTTGAATGTTGGTGAGTATCTTTTTCTCTTTGGTGTATTTATTCTTTTTTTGTAATTGGTTATTTCAAATATTTCGCTGATGTTTTACGTGACATTTTCATGCAATCTCTCAGGTGACGATCGTAATATCGTGGAGGTGTATGTAGCTGGAAGGAAGGTGGTCCCATTCCCAGAGACAACGTCAGAGTGAATGATTCAGTTCTCCATCCAAAGAATAATAGAAGTGCTCTGTGGGTGCTTGAAGTGGATTTTTGCACAACTGTACACTTATAGAGGAGGACATTTAGTGTTGCCCAAAACATTTTTAGGCTTAATAATTGAAGAAAAAAATGCAGATCAGCATGGGTAATGCAAGCCTGATGTCAGCTCAGCTTGAAATCAGTGTGGTTCTCTAAAAGTTAGATAGATAGATGTTTGGCTTTTGATCTGGAAACAAGGGACTTTTACAGTGCTGCGAAATTTGCACTTTCTCTGGTAATTGTTGCTATGTGCTACATGTTTTCTGCTGTAGCTAATAAACAAGGCCTTTTTATTCGTGCAGACATTTTTGTACTTATACGTATTTAAGATAACAAAGAATGGAATGGAGGTTTCGGTAGCCTTGTTAGAAAGTTGAGATTTATATTAAAATAATACTTTCTGATATTAAAGTTGATTACTATCCTTAAATCATGGTAGCGTATAAAAAGAAAACTCAGTGCAGCTTAGTGTGCTCAGTGTAAACATGCTGCAGTGCCTGACCAGTCTGCTGTGGATTAATGACCCCATGCTAATGTAACTGGAAGATATTTTGTGAGCCCACAACTAGAAGCAACTTGATTTCTAATCATAACTATTTTTTTCACTGAACACTCCATTGAAATGCAGCAATTAAAGCACTCAGAACAGCAGAGCCATGTGATGATACCATTTCTGCAGTTTTATCTTTTGTTTGTTTTTGTTACAGTGGAGTGTGCTGCAGATTGCAGAGTTAAAGTGAAAAATGTATATGTAAAAGTTTTTTTTATAAACTAATTGCCTGATTTGCCTCTACATCCAAGTCCAATTTTGACAATGACCAAACTGCCCTGACTTCAAAACAGTGTTGATATTGATTACATGATTGATCCAAATGTTATATACCTGCATATATAATAGCAGTCTTTTGATGATTACGCAATTTAAGAGAATATGCACTTTCCTTACATTAATTTATATAAGAGACTTTTTTAACCAAATATGTTGATAATTTTATACCACAACACATCATAAATGTGTTATTTTGTATGGGAAAGTCCTTCTCTTTGCATTCTTTGATCTGTTATATAAGGAAGATCTAAATAAACAAATATCACTAAATGTGTTGAGGTGTTTTTTTTTTTATCCCCACGAAAAATACTTTCGTAATGAATAAATAGTTCCAGATGGTGGCAGTAGTACAACTTCAAGCACGCCAGCTGCTATTTAGCTTAGCAGAAGAAGAAGAAGAGGAGGGCGGGGGGTGGGGGGCGGAATTGGAGGCGAAGAAGAAGATTGGAATGAGGAGATCAGCTGGGGAAACTGCGGAAGAGAGGGAATGAGGTTGAAATGAAGTCGCTTAAAAGTTTTAGAAAGTCAACTAAAAATAATTTAAGAAATAATTGTAAGTAATACGCTGAGGCTCAATTCTTATTTAAATTGGTGGTTAAAAAGGAGATAAAGAGAAACTTGTGTCAAAAATGATTAAAGACTTAACGACAAATAGAGAGGCGTTCACTGTCCAACCGTTGCTTGGCTAGGTGTCAGATTTACAGATTAGAGATTACATTTTTTTTATTATAAATGGAGATAGTGGTAATTGTTTGGTTTAGTTCAGTGTTAGAATTGCATACAAGGAAGGTAATTACCCATCTATGTGAGCCTTTGAGGAACTACAGTTAGTAATAGGATATGACTAGATTTTTCATTCCATGATTGCAACAGTTGTTCCAGTTGTTGACGCAGATCGGTTCGCTACCACCAAAGAAAATCATTCAGAATTGCACTAGACGTTATGTGAAGATCAACCTAAAAAAATATATATATTTTAAATGACCCCAAATCGTGTTTGTTTAAGCTAATTATAAAACACATTGTTTGGTAGTAAAAGCTTTTTGTGTACAATATTTTCAGCTTTCTCCATTCTGTTTTAATTCTACCAGACATCCTCAGCATCCTCCTCTGCACTGAAAGCAGCTGAGATCCAGACATGCCTCTGTTCCGGGCTTTGGATGAAGGGGGGTCAAAGGGTCGGCCCTGGAGGAAGATGGAGGGGACAGGAGGCCGCCGGAGCACACATGACGAAGGCTCCGTCCTTTCGCTGACACAGATGTGCCTCCTAAGCCTGGCAGAGAATATGAAGGAAGTGTGGGCTAAAGACTACGCTGACAACTACCTGGACCATTATACCTTTAGATACATCATGGGGCCGTTCAACGCGCTGCGTGAGTTTGGGAGAGTTTAATGAAATGACGGATTTGTGTCATAGAAAACAGAAAAAGTCTGATCCAGCTGGTTTTTTAAAATTTGTTAAAGCATCATAAAGTTTTATTGTTGAGCGCAGATTACATCACTATTTCATTATTATTTGGGGGGTTTTCAATAATTTTACTGGTAAATATAAACTTTTACTGGTGATGTGTCCATATACACCCACACACATAAATAAGTCTGTAAGACTATGAATTTCCTTCTTAAACTTGTTTCCATTATTTCATTTTTGTAACTTTTCCACCTTATTAATTGAGATGAGGAGATTTCTTAACTTCCTGTCTTATCTTATTCTCCTCCCTCTCCTTTATTCTGTCTGCAGCTGGGGACCTTGTGGAGGAGCTGACATGGCTGCTGAGCAGCAGGAAACAGCTGTCTCGGGCCGCCCTGCACCTGCTGCTGGTGCCCCAGCTCAGAGGCCTGTCCCTGGAAGGATGTCCTGGTTTGGTCACGTCAGCCCTCTGTGCCCATATCTCTGCACGCTGCCAGGTAGGCCTGACACCATGACTCCAGTCCTCCTGTTTTAATTCCAGTTTCAGACAAGCACAAATTAAACTCTTCTCCTTTTTGTCACGTCCGATTGAAGTAGAGATAATTGAGAAGTGATACTTAACATGAAACAGTGTCATTAGCATAACTGACCAAAGGGGGAGGTGTTCTTGGGATTTTCAAACAAAGTGTGGCAAAAACAGGTCACATCTCACTAAACTCTTAGTGACCATGAATATGTCACTATATTACTAGATGTAGACATACTGTTTGTTTAGGGTCTGTGGAGCCTGGACCTGTCTGGAGCCCAGCATTTACCGCCAAAAGTCCTCTCTGAAACCCTCAGCCGTCTGCCCGCTCTGCGCTCCCTCTCCCTTGCCGGTGTGCCCTGTGACAGGAGCGTCATCAGGACAGTCGTCTCCTGCTGCCGCATGCTGCGACATCTGGATGTATCCCGCTGCCACTGTCTCTCCCCAGCTGCGCTCCTTCCTCTCGGAGGTGGGGCTCTCTGCTCATCTTCTGCTCACCTCTCAGACCCATAGTCTGATTTCTCCTCTCATGCCCCATCCCCATGTTTCCTGCTCACACCTCTCCCTCTCTTTCCCTCCAGCCCCCTTTCCTCTCCCGCTCAGAAGCCTGCTGGCTATGGATATCGGCTTTGGGGAGCAGGAGGCTGACGCCGCAGCAGCAGCGGCCTACCTTCTCCTCTCCTTACCCTACCTCGAAAGAGTGGCCATGGAGGACCTTGCACAGGCTTGCCTTCTCATTGAGCAAAGGGAGTTCAGCCAAGCAGATGTGTTTGCTGACAGGGAAAGGGTTCCCAGGCTGGAGGAGGTATGGAAGGGGAGGATACAAGGGCAGGGGAGAGATAGCTGGGGACTGAAGACAGAAGGAGCTCCGGCTGATAAGAAAGCTGCTAGTGAAGAAGAGGAGAGGGCGTTCTGCGTGGTGTATGACTGCGAGAGTGAGGAAGGTGCAGTTAATGATGAAGAACCATCCTGCTCACATAATCAGCCAGGCCTAATCCTGCCCATAAAGGATGTCAAGGGTGTAACTTGTGACTCCTTGGACAGTTTAGGTCATCTATGTCCGGGTATCAGCTCCATATCCGTGAATGTCGATAAATCTGAAGACACTAGCGGAAGAAGCCTGGCTTCTGGCCTCCAGATGTGGTCAGGCCAGCTGCAGAGTCTGTCAGTCCAGTTCCCTGGCCCTCTGGGAGATCTCCTCTTTGCATTGCAAGTGGCAGGCCCCTCCTTGGTCTCCCTCACCCTGGAGGGGGTGAAAAGCAACCCGCACAGCCCACTACTGGAGATCATCGAGGCCTGTCCCAGGCTCAGAAACCTGCACATCTCTGCTGAGCCTCCCAGTACAGAGCAGGAATATGAGGACCCTCCACAGGACCAGGATCCCCCACAGCTGCCACAGCTTTGCTCTCTCACTCTCAGGTAAAATCTCTTTTGAAGAACACCCCTAACATTTAGTAACAATGCTGTTTGTGATGATATTATTTGTACTATATCAACCCATGACAGGGTTTGTTTTGTCCTACTGACTGCTGAAGGTTGCTCTCTGTAGCAAAGAACAAACACAAAAGCCATTAAAGGAAATTAGGGAGTTTACTTATGTCAGGTTAATTTATTATCAGTTTGGCTCTAGGGTGATCCAATAGATAGGAGCTTTCTTCAAAAACAGGAAGTCAACAGGAGCAGCGTCAGACTACTCAGTCAGTAATCAGAACCTGTAAGCTCAACAGAGAAACAAACCAGTCTAGTTTCAGAACAGCTCTAAACGATATATTAGCCTCTTTTCTTATGTCATTTTTGTCACACTTTTCCTGGAGTTCTTTTTTTTCTTTTCAACCTCTCTGCTCAGCCTGCTTCTCTTTGATGAAATAAGTGTCAGGGGATAGGTGGAAGTTTGTGGAAATGGTTGTCTTAACTATTATCTCCATTAAGAGTTGTACTTTTAACAAACTAGCTAATACAAAGAAAGTCTTTGTATATTTTAACTTGTATTCTAAAATCCCCCTTAGAGTTGCCAGGTGTACTCCAAAAGGCAGCACACACCATCTCATTAGCTAACAAAAAGGCATCAAAGTATGTTAGGATTTCCAAAGATGCTAACGTGCTGTCAGTTAAAAAAAACAAGTGAATAATTATAGAGACCCTTATAGAGCCACACTTCTTTCAACTCATCAGATAATTTTTTATGGTTGTTGGTGACGTTTATTCAAACCTTTCCTGTACACTCCTTTAACTGATCATTGCAAAAGCTCAACAGTTAAATTCAATGAACCCATCAAAGTAACCATTTCTTTCTGTCTGCCAAATGTCTGAAGTTTCTCCTATGAGCACAACCAAATGAAGCCTTCCATGCTCTGGCCGTCCCTGGAAAAGGTGCTCAGGGGCCTCTTGTCTGGCTGTCCTTTGCTGGAGAAGCTGTCGCTGGTTTCCCTGCCGTGCCCCGTGGATCTCGTTTTACAGCAGGCACTGCACCGGGCAGACTCGGATATGCTTCGTTATTCGAATTCCCCATGTCCGCCCCCCGTGACACTTGGACGGGTACGCCACGTCGACCTGCTGCGAACTGACGTGCAGATGAAAACTGTGAAAAGATTAATGCAACACAGCAAGAGGCTGAAGTTTGTGGATGTGAGTTATTGCTGGAATATCACTCATCTTCAGTGGTTAGAATGCAAGAGGCTCAGTAAAGCTCAGATTGTCTGGATGTAGTGAGGAGAAGGCACCCCTCTCTGACAGGAGCTCCCGCATCCCTAATGGTCCAAATAAAAAATACGAAGCACTTTTATGCTGTTCATTTCAAAACAATGAGAACTTCTGCGACAAGTGTTCTCATTTTAAATGACATTACACAACGGGAAGAGATTCATCATGTTTTCAGTCATTTGACTGATTTGCTGAATTGTGTGGACATATTTGTGGACTACATACATTTCTTATGTAGTTTTAAAAAAAGTAAACTGATGTTAGATCAGTCATATGCAGTTTACAGTTTCATTTTTAGACATTATCACAGTATGTGAACAATTAGCAATGAGCTCATTCAATTGTGGTTTGATATAATTAATTTTGTTTATTATAGTATCAATTTTCAAATGCAGTGCAATAAAGGAATATTTCTCAGTTGATTTTTCTGGTCTGATCCTTCTAAATGGTGCTTAGAACATTTACAAGAAGACAATCAGAACAAACCATACTTAGTAAACTGCATCTGTTCATAGCATAAAAATGTAAATTTCTTTAACAATCGGTTTCACAAGCTCCAGAGCTACCCAGACCCAGCCTTTAGCAGCGAGTCCCTGACCCTGCAGATGCTGAAGAACTCAAGCTTCTGTTACACCCCTTTCAGCCTCAATGAGGAATTTCAGTCTGATACACAGGTAAACCCACAGGTATTTCTACACATTAGATGCAAGCAGCTAATGGAAGCCAATGGAGTTCAGTGAACAGGGGTGTGACATGTGCTCTCTTTGGCTGGTTGAAAACGGACACATTCTGGATCATCTAGCCTTGTCACAGCCCAGGCTGGAAGGCCTGTTGGGACTCACCCCAGCTATCTGTGGCTGCCATAGATAGCTGGGGTGAGTCCCTTCAGTCCCTTCTGTTTTGTATATATTAAAATATTTCCACATATGGCATAATTCTTGAGTATATATTGAAACTTTGAGGTGCACAATATGAAAAGACACTGGGACTACAGCCGCCACGTGAGTATTTGCTAAAATCGACGTGTTAATTTCACAGCTCTGGGCAGTGGGTGGCAGCCACGAGCCTCAATCCTAGTTGCAACACTATATTAAATTCAAAGAAGAAGATGGGTTTCATTTTATTCAGTTGGTTTGTTTTAAATATCTGAACGGGGCAATCGCTGACAGAAAGAAGATAGTGTAAAATATACATTACAGAGTGTTATCCAAGAGAATTATATTTATGTTTGGTATACGTCAGGAAACACTCAGGCACATACTATTATGTGGCGTGACAGCGCTGGGAAAAAGACATTTGTTTAAATATATTCTGAGAACGTAGCTTTCACTGAATGTAATTTATTTTCTCTTTTTTTATGTGACAATGTCCTCGAACATTATTTCTTTGGTATAATCAACTGGAGTGTAGCTGCCGAATAACCTCAGGGTGTAGGAAATATACACTTTTAGGGTTTAAAGGCCCATTTGCTCGTGATCCGGAATACGCTCTATTGAAAATCAAACACACCCCGAACTCGCTAACACGTCACTCACCGGAGCCGTGCCACTAGTTAAAAGTCAGTTAGCCAGCGGTGAGCAGCTGGCTGCCCAAGTCTGCCCTTCGAGGAAGGCATCTGTTTTCTGTTTTGTTGGTAAGTTTTAGGTACACTATTTACTGCGGATAAGTGAATGCTATAAAAGTGACAGTAGAGTAAATGTATGAATTCCGGGACTCTTGAAGCTAGCTGTCACTGACAAGGCAGTGGCTCAAGTGGAAGTACTGCTGTTTAAACTGTGATCTGCTTCATATTCGGGAAAAGTCGGCTTTTTTCATACTTCCAGTTCGGTTAATTTGTTTCTTTAGTCCAGGGTTGTACGTTGATACGTTATGCTGTAGCTTGAACATGTGTGCACTTGGATGAGGACAGAGTGTTACTTCAGGCCTGTCAGGGGCTCAGAAGACCTGCAGCTGCTTTTAGAATTACTCTGAATTGAATTATGTTTGCCTCCAAAAGGTCATGATGTTAAATGAGCCAAAGGGGGAGATGGAGCAGTGGAATTGGCCAGGTCTTCCTCTTTCAGCCAACTGATTAATGAATTAAGAAGAGCCAAATTGACATCATGGGAAGGTAGGTTTCATGTAAAACCCTGATTTTGCAGCTTGATGAATGATTCCTCTTGACTTCCATGACGTCCAGTCATGCCTTGCGGGGGCTGCCTTTTATTTTTGTACAGGATCAGCTTTTCGTGCCTTTTCCCAGCCTCGTGGCATTTCAGCCTGTCCTCCCAAGTTCTTCCTCGGCTTCTGATACCCTCCTTCAGACAGCTGGTGGTCATCGGCCTGCTGGTCTGCGTCATAGGACTCCTCTACCTGCTGCTATTTGCTGGAGAGGGACCCGCCAGCTGGATCCGAAAGGACAATGGCTTCCACAGGTACTTGGACATCTGCCCTGTGAGTGCAGGTATTCTGAAGGCAACCCTTAAGTTCACAACAGTCACTCACCTGTTTTTGAAAAGGCGCCTGGCGAGGGTGACTGACGTGGATGCGACGGACACAAGCAACCCCAACCTGAACTACGGCCTGGTTGTGGACTGTGGCAGCAGTGGCTCCAGGGTGTTTGTTTACTGCTGGCCCCGGCACAACGGTAATCCCCATGAACTCCTGGACATCCGGCAAATGCGAGATCAGCACCGCAAGCCAGTGGTCATGAAGATCAAGCCGGGTAAGTCGCTTAATGCTTAAGTTATTATTCATTCAAGGAGGCTTTTCTTCGATTTGTTGTTTGTCCTCATGACAATGCAAATTTGCTAAAGGGAAACTTGTGTTAAACAAATGAGTAAAAAGCTATATATGCTCACATTAATGTTGCATTTTGGTCTTTATTTGTTTCCCCTGTAGGCCTCTCTGAACTGGCTAAAACACCAGAGAAAGCCAGTGACTACATATACCCTCTTCTTAGTTTCGCAGCTCTACACATTCCAAAAAATAAGCACCAAGAAACACCCCTGTATATCCTGTGCACGGCTGGAATGAGAATCCTACCCGAGAGGTAAAATGTGCCGAAATGGCATCACCCTCAAAGATGATTATCTGAATTTAAAAAATGTCTATTCTTTTAGGTTTTAAAGAGCACAGCTCAAAAATGCCCTCTAAGAGGAAAACCAGTGTTTATTTTGTTCCTGTGTTTGTGTTCTCAGTCAACAAGAGGCACTTCTTGAGGATCTGCGCACAGATATTCCAGTCCACTTCAACTTTCTCTTCTCTGACTCCCATGTGGAAGTGATTTCTGGGAAGCAAGAAGGTAAATGGGACTGTGATTACAATTAGCACTGAATATTTATGTCAACAATAATTTGAATGATCTTTATTGCACATGATTCTTACCTTTTTATTGTAGACCTATGTTTTGCTTTAAAATTACCAAAGCTTTACTTCAGCTCATAAAAACTGTTTTAATAAATATTAATGCATTGATTTTAGGTGTCTATGCATGGATTGGAATCAACTTTGTCCTTGGAAGGTTTAACCATGTGCACAATGGTAAGGACCGACTCTAGTATACCATTTTTAAAATGAGTGATATTTTAATGCCACACGCGAAGAAACCCAGGGAGATGTGGCTTTGAGTAGCACAAATCTCCAGTGGAGCACCCACCCTGCACATTCACTGCCCAACAAGCCTGTTTCTCTGCCGTTGATTCTTTCAGATGGCGACGGCGTGGTGGAGGTGAATGTTCCAGGCGGCGATCAGCAGGAAGCGCTGCTGAGGAAAAGAACTGCTGGTGTGCTGGATATGGGGGGTGTCTCCACACAGATTGCATACGAAGTGCCCAAAACTGTAAGCTTTGTCTCTCCACAACAGGTTATTATCTCCAACCAATTCTGTTTTTGTGCCATCTAGGCTTTTTGTCGCTCATGCTGTGTTCTTGTTCCTCCTCCTTCCAATGTCTCTCATTCCCTGGTTTAAACCTCTATGCACCATTTTGTCCTGTGGAGATGATCTGCTCTCCATTCCTCACTGTTGAAGCATACTGTAAGCCTGCTGCGGGACTCCATGGCAGGACTTAATACTGGAAATATGAAATTCATTATATTGAGACCTCCAAATACAGTAAACATGTTCTGTGTCAGATATTCCTGTTATTCTTGTGCAGTGGCAGGCATACATGCTCTCATTATACCTTAAACAACCTGGACTGTCATTTTGTTCAACATAGTTCTGCATGCACTATTGAACCTAATTCATAAGGCACCCATCATTTCTATATATTTTGCTCCTTTGAATTCAGGCTCTAAGTTTTTTTTATTTATTTAAAATTCTTTTTATGTATTTATTTATTTTTATTTTTGTCAAAAGTTTCACTGCTTTTTTGTGCACATTTAGAAGAGTTGTTCGGTTTCATTATTGATTTCTTTGTTTTTTCTTTTTTAAACTGATTTCCAGTCTGGTCCCTTTTCCCTGACCATTTTAAGAACATTTTTGTAAATTGTTCGTGAACCACATGAACCAAAGTCAAAGGGATTGTGTTGTTTGCGCATAAATCAGACTTCCTGGTAAACAAGCCAATTTTCCCAGCAGTCTAGAAAGAAATGACGGGTGGCTCTCGCACAGTTCCATAATTAGTCATAGTTGGTTATATTGAATGCGACTGTTCATATGGTATGAGATCCAAGGCTGATTTGTGTCTGTTCCTTAGGAGGAAGTTGCCAAGAATTTACTGGCCGAGTTCAACTTGGGGTGTGACGCGCATCGCACAGAGCACGTTTATCGTGTTTACGTGTCCACTTTCCTTGGTTTTGGAGGAAATGCAGCACGCCAAAGATACGAAGAGAGCCTCATCAGAGAAACTGTCTCTCGAAACAAGTAAGTATCAGTAACTGCTTTTTAAAAGAAAAACTGCTTTTTTGACAATTATTTTTTTTTTTTTGGGGCGAAATCTCCCGAAAACTCTGTTGCCAGTGTTAATGCTTTATACACTCATTGTTCAGGCTTTTAGGTCAGCACGTGGGTGAACTGGCAGAGTCTCCCATCCTGGACCCTTGTCTGCCCACAGACCTGCAGGATGAGATCGGACCGTCCACCAAGCGGCTCTACCTGCGAGGCTCAGGAGACTTTGACCAGTGCAGACAAATTCTCCAGCCATTCCTCAACCGCACCAATGACACCCACACCTCCCTCAGTGGCATTTACCAGCCAGCAATTGACTACGGAAACAGCCAGTTTTACGGCTTCTCTGAGTTCTACTACTGCACAGAGGATGTGCTACGCATGGGTGGGGATTACAATGCTTCCAAATATACCCAGGCTGCCAAGGTAAAGGCTCATCTACCACTTTCTAAAAGATAATTAAATTACTGTCAAATATAAATTTTGAGATATATAGCATTTTGTTCCTTCCTTTTCAGCCTTTTCTATGTTCAAATTGAATAGTAATTTATTCTGCTGATGTAAAAATACAGAAATTGATAAATAATGATACATTTGATAATTCAAAATTGGACTTTATTAGTCAGCATTTAAATCTCACTGGTCTAATGCTACCAGAGGTTTAGGTTTGAAGCTACATATAGAATGATTAAAATGGAGACGTTGATATGCAGATAAGTCCTGATTTAGTGTTGGAAACTGTCTTAACACTGGGGTTGAACATTTCCAGGGCTACTGTGCCACACAGTGGAAGACGCTGAAGGAGCGTTTCGACTCCGGCTTGTATGCTTCACATGCAGATCTTCACAGACTGAAGTGAGTCATCCAAAACTGTCGCACTGTTTTTGCATCCCAGTTCAATTCTGATGGTCACCGGTGGGGGTTTGTCCATCCGCCTGCAGGTATCAGTGCTTTAAGTCAGCATGGATGTATGAGGTGCTGCACTCCGGTTTCTCTTTCCCAACCAACTACAAAAACCTAAAGACGGCCCTATTGGTTTATGATAAGGAAGTCCAGTGGACGCTTGGAGCCATACTGTATAGAACACGGTTTCTACCTTTGAGGTGAGACTTTTTTTTCTCTCTTTAAACTAGTGAACTGGATCCCCTGAACTCCTGTTCTACAGTGTATGTTGAAAAAAATTCTCTTTATTGTAAAGAGGAACCTGTTACAACAGTTCTTTATGGTGTCAAAGCAATTAGAGGAACAATCTGTTCTTGGAGTAGACGGTAACAGATTCGGCCTTAAAACTGAGAGAATTATAGTTAAAGGCTCTAACGAATTATATATTTCGGATATCAACAATTTAAGTATAAGTTTCAACCAAGCTTTTTTTGGTCAATTCTTGACATTATTTCCTGAAGCTGGAGCTAGAACATAAATTCATTTGGCTGCAAATTTTGAAATAGAATTGTATAATATTTTTACTAAATGATTCTTTAAACAGAATATCTGCATTAGGAATAACAGACATGTCTTTTCTGAAATCAAATAGCAGATGAGGTGCACCCTCATCAGGTTTTTTCTCATGAGCAGGCTCTAGACTTCCCTTTTTTTGGGGGGGGGGGGGGCGGGAGCTTTCTGTTCACAGCTGATGTGTTTGTTTATGTTTTAGCATTTAGCAGACGCTTTTATCCAAAGCCACTTACAAAGTAGACACAATAATGTGTGGCTGGTTTTTGGCTCTTTCAGGGACATCCAACAGGAGAGTCTCAAAGGGACACATTCGCACTGGCGGCACAGCTTCTCCTTCGTCAACAACCATTACTTGTTCTTGGCTTGTTTCTTCATTGTCCTGCTGTCGATTATGCTGTACCTGCTGCGACTGCGCCGCATTCACCGCCATGCAGCGCAGGCCTACACACCCTCCTCCGTCCCATGGTTGGAAGAGGGCCTTGGCTCGCCAACACTCCCCATCAACCTCTAAACGCTGAACAAAGTGGAGGGGCATTCTTGTCTTTCCAAATTCAGAGTTTGCTCTTTCTTTCTGTGTGGCAATCCATTTTCTCAGTGGGTCTTTTGAGGCAGGATGTTGTCATTTGGACAAATTGGTACCATTCTTCATGAGTGTTGAGACGTTGTACAATAATTGAGCTTTAAGTTATTTTGAGTTTTTTTAAACTTTTTTTTTTTTTTTTTCCAAGTTTATTATTTTATGTTAAATATAGTCTTTCAAATGGCAGCTGCCTCAAAGTGTCCTGTCTTTTCATTGAACAACTCATTTACTGGTACTTCCCCTTCTGGTAAACCGAAATAAAAGACTTAAGTGTACGGATTAAATTTCCCAATGTTGTACTAATACACCACATTGGCATTTGCCTTTCATTCTTTTATTTCTTTGGTGCGAACAGATATTTTTGTTTTTCTTCTCACTGTTTATGAGCAGAATAGGCACTTACTATCACAGAAACCTCAAATGCAATATGATTTTTACTTAAGAAGCACTTTGCGATGCAGTTTAATTGCACCTCCCATTTGTCATGTTTTTTGTTGTTGTTTTTTTTTCCCCCCTCCTTTTGTGTGTGCGCACATTTCTTTTACAAACTGTTGTGCATATTTTTATTGCGAGACAAGAAGCCTTTGAATGCTACCCTAGTGCAATACATGTCTTGCCACTGTTGGGAAATTCTCCAAAAACCATTTGACCCTGTGACATGAGGTTCAATCTCTTTAAGCCCTGCTGAAATTTGTTGTCCTGTCTAAGTATTAAGTTGGACATTATTAAATATATTGAAGTTGGGCTTCATTTTCAGAAGCTGTCACATCAGTGCTGTGAGGGGGGGTGTAAATTAGAGCACGTACCCTATTATTTAAATGACGATCTTTTGGAGTGTTTTCTCATGTAAATGTAAACCAACTGTTGTAACACGGCAATATGGTAATAAAGGTTTTATGGGATACTGAATGGATCCTGCATGCATGTTAACATTCTAAGTGGCCAGTGTGCCACTACAACCGAAAGACAACAACTTTGTCATTGTGCAACTTTCTTTGTAAAATTGCCAACTTAGCTGCTCCATTGACTCTCACTTATTTGTAAATTATGCAAAACAAATTGTGATCCATTTGGGATTTTATATGTTCCCATACAAATATGTCTAAAAACACACAATCACTTAGTAGGTGAAGAGCAAATGAGGAGGAGCCATGTTCAGGAAGTGATAAAGACAAGCCTTCTTTTGGCCATTACGACAGCTACTGGGAACAGAGGTGTATTTTTCTCATTGGTCGGTAATCCTGGATCATTTTATGTAAAAAAAAAAAAAAAAAAAAAGCAACTTTTTTAAATCTTGTTTCTGTGGTTTAAAAAAAACTTGAACAGAAGAAAGAGATCATAATCTTTCACGTTGAATAGTCAACTCAACAATCCTGCTTATTTAAAAAGTCATATCAACTCTGATTTACTTTGTTAGTACTTCTAATAATTCGGTCTTTTGAGACTTCATACTACTGCTTTCCAACACTTAAGACTTTTTGAAAGACTTATCAAATTCCAAACAATACATGACATTTACATACTTACTTACATACTTTGAACAAACAGGGATTTGTCTTTTAAATACAGACATTTAACTGAACTGAATTAAAGCATTAACAGAATTAATAGTGCTGTGAAATAAATGTGTAAAGTTGCAGGAAGCAGGAAGTTTAGTTCATCAACAAACAGGCCTAATTAACACTAAGTCCTACGTGTGCAAGATAAAAAAATGTGTCCACAGGAGAACATTTTAACAGAAACACCACAAGTCCCGTAATGTCTCAAATATGGTCTATGAAGTGTTAACACAAATGTTCAGACAGGTCTTTCCGTGTTTTCTGATCTGAGCATGTGGATTTCAGATGTAACAGCCCCGCTGGAGCAAGTTTCCTTTTTTAAGACGTCAGTTTCCCATAATGCTGAGTCACTGTTGTCACACCCACAGTGACTGGGCAGCATGCTTGTTGTGTGGAGCTTATGTTTCAATGGTTTCCATCCCTAGAATAAACTCATTCTTGTTTTTCTGAACAATGCTTTTCTTCTCATGATATAAAAAGAAAAACTTTTTTCGCTTTAGTAGAATAAAACCTATGAATACAGTTTTCTGTTCCACAGATGGCTCAGACAAGTTGGAAGACTAATGGTTGGTTCTTACTGGATCTTACTCTCTCTAGGGAAAGGAAGGGAAAGGATTTACAAAAGAAGTGTAAATGTAAATATTCTGTTTGATGAATCAGTGGATTTCCTTCACAAAAGCTGTGATCCATCTGAATGATAAAGTGAAACTTAAACGTCTATCTTGCAACAGGAGATGGGAAGGCACAGACAAAAAAGCCCTAAATAATTCAACATAAAAGATGCAATGAGCTGTAACTGAAGCAGAGATGTGGGGACGCTGGTCATTACTCCAGGCTACTTCATATGACTCTTCACATGACTTGCAGTAGGGATTAGTCTGTTTAAATGTAATGCAGTTGCAGGTGATAGTGTTTGGGTATAAACTTCTTTCTTTCTTTGCTGTTGAATTTCTAAATTCACATGGCACTGACTTTTAGAGGGAAATATATGGTACTGTTTGGTCTCCTTGATGTATTCCAAAGCTTTGTTTATCATTAAATTAACATTATATGAATAATTACTTCTCCGATATTAATCTCTGTTCACAATAAAAATTGCTATGTAGCTATATATATATATATATATATATATATAGGCTATATAATTTATATAATTTTTGTCTCAACAGCTTAATTATCAGCGATTTTGTTTAACTTTTAACCACAGTCAGTATTAACTAACCACAAGTTGTATATTGTCATTCATTCAAACAAAACTCAACATTTTCTTTGTAATGTTAATGGACATATGTTGCCAGATAGGAAGACCACACCTGCTTATCTAATCTTGCAGGACTGGGCGATTACAGTTCTTTCAAACTCATTCAAAAACTCATGGATGCACAAATTGTTGCACCAGCGGTTATGAGGCTCGAAAGGAATCTAGTACGGAAACTTTTCATTGGCCGTTCAAGCAGAAAGCCCACCCAGTTCACTCACCATCTTGGATATTATTGGTCTGTCTCTCACAAGCCACGCCTCGGTGGGTGACGTCACACGGGCGCTGGAACTCCTCTAAGTAAGGGATGTTGTGGTTATCCATGCCGCCGACTCCTCTCTGAGTGATATCTGGTCCAGAAGACCGCCAGTGAGAGCTCCCCACGCATGGAGTTGAGCTCGGACCGTGCGGTGGCAACGGTGGAGATGTCGCAGGTTAAAAGCAAGGACGAGGAGCCTTTTAAAAGTGACGGGGACTACGAGAGCTTGCCACCTCATGTCTCCGTGACGACCCACATGACAGCAGGAGCCGTGGCAGGCATACTGGAGCACACGGTGATGTACCCCGTGGACTCTGTCAAGGTAACGCGCCCAGAGGCGGCCACGAGCCGGGCTTTTCCACTGCTGTGTGCCCCCGGCTCAGACACAAACTAGCTTAAAAGCACCAGTAAGAGCAGGCGGTGTGCTTTCTTGCTAACAGACGTTAGCTGCGGACTCCCCAGACTGAGTTAGCCTGGATTTTAGCTCATCTGAGCAGCGAGTCCCTGCCCATTTCCAACAAACTACTTAAAACCTCCAGCAAAAGTCAGAGTAGAGATACAATTTCCTTTGGCAACCACACAAGTTCGACTAATGTTGCTAGACTGCCAACAACTTCGCTAACCTACTAAACTTGGCGTCCGTCCATTCTAAATGTGTGAAGGACACTAATTAGGACTACAGCTAAGTTTTTGTCATTACAAGTATTAAATCGTCGTTCCAAGTTTCTCTAAGCTTTCATTTCAGTTCATGCTCCCTCCCCCCTTGAACAAGGAAAACAAAAAGTAGTTTCTCTGTTTTTCCTGTTGGTGACTTAACTGTGGGCGATGTGAAGGTCAAGTATAGGAACCGGTTGTGATAGACTTTAGTTTGCCTCTCACTTAGAAACCAAATACACGCTGAAAAAAGTTTAAACCACATTATTAAAAGGTAATCAAATATATATAGATGCTTATTGATCTACTTACACAGTCTAGGGTTTTGGGCTCATTTGGATCAATGGACTTCTTATAACACTTTACTTTATTGCCTATTTAAAGACTTAACAAATAGAAAATCTAATAAACACATTATGTGTAAAAGGTATCAGTTTCCCTTCTGAGGACTTTATTAATTAAATTAGATTATTCATTTTATGTCTTGCTCATAGCTATTATTCCTTCAGGTAAACCACTCATAGGTAGTTAATTACAGATTAGCTGAAATGAGTTAATGAATGAGTGGAGAGAATGGGAGTGTAACCGTTTTACATAAAAAGTTGTTTTAGGAATAACACCAAAAGTGATGGGGATCCTGTTTTTTCTGCACCTGTATTAGAGTACCACCAGCAGTAACACCACTAAACCCTAAATCCTGTCAGCAGAGACTAAGCTGCTCACCTGTTCCCTCAACATGACTCTTTCTTGTGAAACACAAGTACCCTACTTGTTTGATTTGGAATGGTCCTAAAATGTATATATTGCACCCTTAATGGCGCTCACATGCCAGAGGACTTTTAAAAATGACACCTCTGCCTTCTTTATAAGTAGGGAAACGCTGCATTGATGGTGAGAAGGTTTTATTAAGATGTATAAAGTTTATCAACGCATAATAGGCTCTTTAACTAATATGGCCACATAAGCATTTAATCATCTATCATTTCCCCTGGTGCAGCTTTGTAGTGTACGCCTGTTGGTGAGTACATCAGTAGCAAAATAGAACTGCTGGCTCGTTCTGAAAATGTTAAAAATTGGCTTGTGTCTGGAAAGTAAATGGCAAACTGCTGGTTTGAGTATGACCTTTGCTCCTGCAATCCCCTCACTCTCCTGCTCAGCCATTGTTCTCTAACAATGTGGCGTTGTTTAGATATTTGGGCACGCTGGCCTATCTCTGACAATAATCATGATGTGAGATGGACATAATCATTAATGTGGTTGAAAACAAAAAAGAAAGTCCATTTATCGTCTCATTGCCGGTCTTTTCTTGTTTCATCATACAGCCGAGGACCTTTATTACTTAAAGTTTGTGTTGCAATTTCCTCTCGAGGTTTTCCAACTTTTCACAAGCATCTTCCATCTCTAAATGAGGTGTCCATTCAGTCTGAGTCACGAATTTACAGACTTTTTAAAATGCGCCCATCTTTGTGTGAAGATGGATTAATGTCTCCGCTCTGACGTGTGCGCTACTTAAACTCGGTGTTTCATTACTCACTTTTCAAAGTAGGAACTCATGAAAAATAAGGAAACGACTGTTTCTGGCATCAGTCCCGTGATGGATTCAGCAGAAATGTCTAATTAGTCATGTTGGGGTTTATTTGTCAGTCCTTTCTCTGTATCCCAAAATGAGGTAGACCTGAGACTCAGGGAGTTGTCTGTTTTAATGGAGGAGGGGTGTCTTATCAGGGTTGCACATATTTGGCATCACCCTCGGCAGTAGAGGGTGTGTGTATTCATTTGCTCCTCTGCACTATTGATTAGCAAACAGTCATATAACCAGAACAGACAGTTCAAATGATAAGTCCCACAATAGATGGGACTGTTACCTTTTCATGGTTAAATTCTGTCACTCAAGCTTTAACCATAAGTCTTGGTGGCACGTTTTGTGCCCCAAGTTTCCAAATCTAAACCCAGCGGAAATGTAATTGATATTTTATTGTCCGACTCAAGGAAGGAAGCACAGGCGAGCATGCTGACGAAGATAGACTCGGCCTATCTCCCGAGCCGGCCCGGCATCTCCAGGCGTTTAAAAACATGCTTTGTGTTGTCCAGATAACTTGGCATGAGGGAATTAAACAAAGTGCTGCCACTGCCTCCCACACCAGCCCGTAGGCGACGCACACCACTCAGAAAGGCCCCCACTAATGCCAAAGGGCCTTACTGTCAGAACAATGTGAGAACATCGCTGTATATAAAAATAAATCAGGACGTGAACGTAATGAGCAGCAGGTGGGAGCCGCACAGGACATGTTGTGCCTAATGCTGACGGATATTGACGGCCAAGATGTACTTCTACACTTTTTTTTTTTACAGACGAGGATGCAGAGCCTCCAGCCGGACCCTAACGCACAGTACAAGAGTGTCTATGAGGCTCTGAAGAGGATCATCCGGACGGAGGGGGTCTTCAGACCGCTGAGGGGCCTTAACATCACCATGTTGGGCGCCGGCCCCGCCCACGCACTCTACTTTGCTTGCTATGAGCGGGCGAAGAGCTCCCTGAGCGACATTATTCAGAGTGGGGGCAACAGCCACATAGCCAACGGTACCAGCTTCCACTTCTCAGAACATACTTGTTGAAGTCACAGCAGCCATTTGTTCCACAGACAAAGCGGCGTGATGTTGAGTTTAGTTCATTCATATCCTGTTTATAAAGCAGTGTGCAGACTGGCCACAAAAATCCTGTCTGGGATATTGAATTTATGACCTTTATTTATTTATTCTCTCTAGTTTGAGAGGAAGAGCTCATTCCTGCTTTATATTTGTAAGAAATTAAGTTGATTGTTGGCCCCGTTGCAGCTTGAGCCCTAATAAGATCTGTTGGTGTTTGAACAGGTGTGGCAGGTAGCATAGCCACGGTTCTCCACGATGCCGTCATGAATCCTGCTGAAGGTAAGAAAAACCCCTCTGCAGTGTTTCTTCTGCACTTGATTAAGCTAAAAAAATATATGTGTTATTTACACCCTTTAAGAAAATTGTTTTTGTTTTGAAAACAAATAGAAACATCTTTCATAGCGACTGTCCAGTCCAAAATATGTAAACAATGCTCCCAATATGCAAAACAAAATCCAGCTTCTCTGGGATTGGGAGAAGTCTGAAAATCAGTCCTATAAAAGAAAAGCAAACGTACCTGTTCTTAAGCAGGTAGCTGCTGGGATACATGCCGGGGTGTTATCTTTTAAATGAGAACACAATAGATGAGCTTTAAAATGTGATCGAGTCTTGATGGCATCAAGAAGGAAAACCTGTGATTTGCATCGAAGGCTATTTGAAACGCAGACATGTCGTAACCACAGCGTGTAGTGCTGTATTTAATGTAATTCTGCATAAGAAAGCATGCTAACACTTGGTTTCCTGTTGTTGCTCAGTGGTAAAGCAGAGGATGCAGATGTACAACTCTCCATATCGAGGTCTTTTGGACTGCATTCGGACGGTCACGCACACCGAGGGCGTGGGCGCCTTCTACCGCAGCTACAGCACTCAGCTGACCATGAACATCCCCTTCCAGGCCGTTCACTTCATCACCTACGAGCTGATGCAGGAGCAGCTGAACCCCGACAGGCATTACAACCCCGGCAGCCACATCGTGTCGGGGGCGGCGGCCGGAGCCATCTCGGCCGCGGTGACCACCCCGCTCGACGTTTGTAAGACGCTGCTCAACACGCAGGAGAACGTGGCGCTGAACTCCATGAACATCAGCGGCCACCTAACGGGGATGGCCAATGCCTTCAGGACCGTTTACCGGCTCGGTGGTCCGGCCGCCTTCTTCAAAGGGGTCCAGGCTCGGGTCATATACCAGATGCCTTCAACAGCCATTGCCTGGTCTGTGTATGAATTCTTCAAATACTTCCTGACGAAGCAGCAGCTGGAACAAGAGGCCAGATCGGGGCCTCTGTAATGGAACCTGTCCTGGAGCAACCCCACGCCCACGCCCACGGACCTAAAACTTCCAGTTTGAAGATGTGCGAGTCCACGGGGTTTTACAAGCGCTGCTGAGAAAAAGGCTTCAGGTATTCTTTTATGAGGAAGTGCCAGAGGGGAGGCGTGGCAGAGAGCAGCATTCCTGACTGATCATTTATTGTGGAGCTCTGCGTCAGTGGCCAGGCCTCGCCGCCGTCACACAGCAGCGTTATGCAACACTGAGAAATCTCTTCCTCGTTCTCCACCTCCTGACGGAGCACCCTTTTCCAAAGCTCTCTCGCTTCCACCAGTCCTGACCATGTTGATGAGGTTGCCTCAGACCATGTTTATATTTCTAAATATCGGAGCTTCTTATTTATTTTGCTAGCTTTCTGAAGCCAGTCTCTTATGGATGCAGCAGCAGCACTGCTGTTTGTTTGGCTTCAGCTTGTTTATGAGAAACGCATTCTTTGTTTCCACTCATGCGGATGGGACCGTTGCATCCTCCAAGTGCCTCACGATTATCAAACACGGCTTGTTCTTTTCAGACTTTTCTGCTCTGGATATAGGAAATGGTCGCACACTTCATTTGTGTTGCAAATATCTTGCATAAAACAAATGCGTCTCACAGGTCTCCTCAGTCAGATCGAAAACAAGGCCGTTACACAATGAAATGAATGGTATCTTTTTGGTCTTTTCAGATGTTTTTTTTTCTTGCACCTGATGGTGAGGCGTTCACCAGCAGCAGCTGTCACGTTTTCTGTGCATGAAGCACTTCCTCCTCAGAGAGCCTGCTCTCTCTGAAGATGCGTAGGCCGTAGCGGTCCAGTTATTTGCTCTGCCAAAGTGCAGTGCGACAATTGTCCCAAACCACGCACAATAGATCCTTAGCTGCCTGAGAAGGTCGGCAGGTTCTCTACGCACATCCAAGGCATCACTATATATACTTCGAAGGGGACTTTGTCTGTAGAAATCTCTCCCAGCTGGTCTCACTGTGGATCAGATAGGTCTGTTACATGGGAGGGCACCAATATCTCATCCCACTTTTGGGATGCTTTTAGTGTGACGCTTAGCTTTATTTTGGCCTGTTGTGTTTGTGTGCCCCAGTGATTTCAGAGTCTTTAGATCGTACCAAAAAAAGCATCATGCGTGTTTGGAGTCTCCAAAAGGTCTCACCACAAAATAAATGTGATCTAAAGTTTGCGCACACTATGTTACCAGACAGGCCGGTAAGAACTCGATGAGAAGAAATCGTTCTTTTCCCATCCTGCTCCAGTCAGACATTTCCTGTGTGCTCGCTGCCTTCGCCAGCTTATTGTCTATTTTTGATCCAGAAGTTGCGATGTCCTGCCAGATGTCGATGTAGTCCAGAGAGCAGTGGGCTTTATTTGTTTTTAATCATTTAGGCCCATTCTCCCAAGAAGTTTAGCAGTTTCCAGTGGTCCCACGAAGCAATTCCTCATGCTTTTTACGGTAAACATTACTAAACCAAAGACATTCTGTTCCATTCTATGCATTCTGTTTTTAATTAGTATAAACCCACTGTCGTGAGTTGTCATTCCATCTTTGTCGCCTAGATTTCACACTCCGAGTAGTGTTTATTCCGTTTAGGGAAAAAAAAACTTGAATTATTTGAGAATTTCTCCATTTCCTGTGTAGGTAAAGACTTTCTACACTAGGATTGAGAAGCAGCAGCTCTTAGGAGGAACGGTATGTTCCCATTTATGTATAGTAAGGTTTTCATTTTGGTTTACAAACTGTTGTTGTGGGTTAGTTTTTATTCACTAAACTGGCTGAGGTGTCTTGGACCACAAAGTACTTTTATTTTTTCTTGACTTTTTTTCATGCAAAATGGCTTCACGGTAATGTTAACTTGAATATAAAAGCAGCTCAGTAAACATGGATTTGTATAGTTGTTTTATTAAATTCAAGGTGTGGCCGCTGCTAAGTTGGACTGTTGCTCTGTGTTCTCTGGGAAAACATTTCCTCTGTGAACAGCACTGCCATCCAGCACAGGTCTTTTCTTCCACTTGCAGCTGTCACTCGTGTGTTCTACATCATTGTTTTTCTGTACCGACTGATAAAACCGAGTCTTTATGTTGGTATCAAAGTCACATAGGTAATGTTTTGAATCAATGCTTCTGTGTTTAGTACGGAGATCCGAGTTTGTATTGTAAGTGGGGAAATGCTATAATGTAAATGTTTTTATTCTATTTATGCACTATTAATCAAAATGGGAGTTGATGTGGTTTTTACTGAGTGCCATCTGCAGAACGGGAAGTTTGACAATGCAAATGATCAAAGATTGTGAAAATGCTGCTACAGTATTTAACACTGGAGCTGAAATAAACACAGATTAGGAATGCTGTGTGTTTGTGTTATGTTTCAGAGCTGTGTCAGCATTTGGTTTTATAATTTTTTTTCTGAATTCCACATGATGGGAGAACAGGGATTCTTCTAAAGTCTAAATGCAGTGGCCTAATCCTTTGGAACATGGGTGTCCAACTCCACAGGTTTCCTTGCTTCACTCCTGATTCTGATTAAGTGGATCAGTTTAAAGACTCAGCACAATCCTGATTAAGACACCCTGACCAGATTCAGGTGTGTTGAAGCCAGGGAAACTTGTAAAACCCGCAGGACAGCGGCACCTCGCCGACCGACTTTGGGGACCCCTGCTTTAGAAGTTTCCATTTGAAATTCAGAGGTCACGTGGATGCTTGTTGACCACTGATGCCCCTCTGACCGGTTTGAAAAACGTTTCGTAGTAGAACAGTGACGCTAAATGTTGAAGGTCATCCAACACCATCTGTCCAGCCAAGTGCAAAGTAGAAGAGGAAGTAACACTTAGTTTGACCTCTTCATCCTAAATTGGCATGTGTGTGAAGCAGGAGCCGCTTATCTCCACCAGAGGGCGCTATAACATCTCTGAAGAAGAGAACACACAGGAAGAAGAAAAAAAGAAGTTCCTGGCACAAGTTTTCAGGGCTGCAAGAATAACTTTTTCTAGCCCAGGTGATGGAAAGCGTTTGCACCTGTACCAGTCGAATTACTCTCAGCGTCTCGTATCTTTTATTTCAGCTCCTGTCATCTGTAGAAGAGCTGCACAGTGATGTGCAGTTTTTTTCAGACTTCTAGTTTCCTCCCAGTGTTAAAAAACAAAAGCAGGTTTGGTTAATTGGTGTCTCTGAATTTTGGGACATTGGTTGTTTGTCTCTGTGTGGCCCTCCAAATGTACCCCACATCTCACAGAATGGCACGAAAGCCTTAAAATAGATTGAATATAAAAAAAATGAATGGGTTGCTAAAAAGCACGTATCATATCATCACTGAAAGCGAGACTGTTGATCTCTGTGTGAGATCATCTGCCAACCCCAGAATGTGCTACAGTGTATATGTCTGCAAAAAAAAAAAGAAAAGAAAACACCTGATGTGATGTTTTTATTGTGAAGCAGACAGTGCAGAGCTTTATTCCAAAGCAACATGTCTCAGGACACGTACACGTGTGCTGTAACCCTCAAGTGTTTAGTTTTCGCCCTCGTCCAGGAGTCGGTTGTTTATCTGAAGCGCACAATGGCTGCCCCCCTCGTCCACGTCCTCCGTCCTTCTCATGCTCGTCTCTAATCACCTTAATCTGCAGTAAACTGTTTTACCACTTTATGTCTTTATCTTAGAGATAACCGCTCTGGAAAAATACTGTTCTCTCCCAATCTGCATGTTTTCACCATGGCTTCTTTCCTTTTATTTTTTTCTCTCTCTCTCTCAAACACATAAACACTGTTTGCAGCAACACAATCGATGTCAACCATCCGATAAGTGAGATGCTCCGCGGCATATCTGCTGATTGGAGAAGAAAGGCCGCTGCTCTGCCGGGTCCGTAACATGATGGGTCCAGTTACACGATCCGACGAAGTTTCTTTTTTTCGGAGAGTTCCCATGGGAAGATCGGGGCCGTTTTAAACTTCCTTATCAGCTCCAACAAATTTGTCAGCCAGTCACGGCATATTGGAGCACTGACAAAGGCTGTCATTGTGGTCAGGGTCGCTTCTCTCCTCATCTGCTGAGAAGATCTGCTGCTTCTTTTTTTTTTTTTAGCATCACAGGCCACCTTGAAGACAATGACAGTTGTTCCACCACCAGACTTTGGGCAATAGATTTTTGTGGGAACAAAAAAAAAAGTAGGTAAAGTTTTTAGTAAGCAAAAGTTGAGAAAAAATGTCAAAACTTTTACAGTCAAGCCCGTTTCCTCCATCCAATTAGATTTTTTTATTCACTTAAATGTAGAATCTAGACCATTATTCCCACGTCCACCCACCCATTTTTTAATAATTTACTTGCCAAATCCAGTTTAGGTGACTCGCAGCCCATTTTACAGACACTCCCCATACTGAGGGCCGACTGAGAAGGAAAACAGAGGAGAACAAGTTTTTTTTTTTAGTCCTCTTGTGTTTGACAACGCACCATGTCTCTGAGCCTGCGGAAGTGCAGGCATGACAATAGCAAAAGCAATAATAGTCGTCCTCCTAACCTTCAGCCTCACCCTTCCACAAGCTCCCTTATCTGATGAGCTTGCTTCATATACAGTCCCAGAGATACAGTCAGATGTTCAGAGCCGTCATAACAGACGCTATCTGCCCTCTTCATGTCTAATTACCTGTTTACTCTGAGGGCTTAGTGAATAGTTCAGCCACTGCCACCGCTGATAAGAACTCACTTTAGCTTACGGAAATCGATAAAGGGCCAGATCCTTGTTTGATTAAGCTTTTACAGATATTTTAAAGCATGTTTAACATTCTGTATGTTTTGAAAGCTGATTTTGGAGAAAGATTACTGTTCAGTTTATAGTGATGCTTGCAGCTCATGTGGCCCTGAAGGTGATGAAGGATTCCGGAAACAGGTTTGGAAGATCAGGTGAACGATCAACACTTTAACACGAGTACGGGAACAATAAGAATGTGTTGAGCTGTCAGTCAGATCCGTTGTCAGGCAGTTGTTGACCAAGACCCTTGTGAAGTCAGATGTGGTAGGAAAACTCTCAGGTTTCCCTCCATCAATCCCATCAGCTCTGGTGACACTTTGCTGTGCTCATATAAACATGCCCCTCTTAAATATGTAAAATCCTAAATCCCATGTGCCATCTTATCCGCCCCGTTAGTCACTGTACAGAATCGGAGCAACATGCTAGTCTTCACTAAGCTTCTGTCACCTCTTAGGCAACATTACTCTGTTTTACACAAAGATATCAGTCACACAGAGTAAATGACTGGATTCTTTTAGATCAAGTCATATACAGAATTTGCAGCTTACGACAGTAACAGTTATTTTGCTATATGGGGAAACAATTAGAGTGTCTGAATGAAATGCATCCTCCTGCTGTAGGTATCCCTCCAAGAGCTACATCTAGTTAATAATAGCATAAATAGGAACAGCGTTCTTTAGCTTGTATATACAATATATGTTTTCTTACATTCTACATCATTGTTCAGGCACCAAAGCCTGAACAATAACTAAACCAACATTAAAAGAAATGGCAAAACAGTTTTGTTTGCCTACAACTTTGTTCCAATTTTTAACAATGAAATTCTTTGTATTTCTTTGGTCGCGTGTATGGTTATGACTTTATCTAAGCTGGAATGACCTCCTCCAGGTGTGAGGTGAGTCTTCATTTTGGAACCCTTCTTTACTTTTACAAGAGTAGTTATTTTGGAAGAGGTAAAGTAACAAGAATAGACTAGAATATTTGTACATTCATTCATATTGTATTTTTTTTATTGAAATCTGACACAGTGTTCTCCTTTTTTCTACCAGGTTGAGTCACCGTAAAATTACATTTTCAAAGTGTTGCGCAGTACTCTTCTCCAAGCCTAAAAGTTTAGTCTCATGATGGAAACTGCTGTAAACTCAGCTGGGAAGGGAGTGAAAGACTGAGGAGGATATGTGATTGTTAAAAACAGACAACTGATCACCTTCAAGTAGTAGATGATGGTAAGAATGAAGTACATAATGTTCTACACATCACCTACAAGTTAGCCCTCAGACATCTGAGTGATTAAAAAAAGATCTCAGCCATCAGTCAGTGTTATCTGTCAGCCTCTGTGTTTGAATGAAAATGGCTTTAATTAGGTTCAAACGGATGTATTCTTTAGGCCCCAAAGCAGGTATGCACTCAGCAAACCTGTTCTGTTTGATCTCATGTCTCATGTATATGTAAGCATCTGCTGCTTTATAACCATCACCACATCAGTAAGGAGGGGGGGGGGGGGGGCTTCATGCTTCATGCCATGGTAGTAAAATCAAATCCAGACATTTAAAATGGGATGTAAAGTATTCAGCAATTTATCCTGTATTTTATATGATGACTTTTGAGTATTTGCACCATGTGTCACCTGGTGCATGGTTTTCCTTTCAGTTCTTCTGTAACAATTGTTTCCTTTTTATCCTGCAGTGCTCTGAACACTATACCTGCTTATAATTTTCTCTTTGGACTGAACTTTCCAACAATCTCACAGAAGACATCGTGTCTGCATTCACACAGTTGCTTTGCTCGTGATGTCATCTCCAGAAAACTGAAGAGCTGTTTATCTCCCTGTAATCAGATCAGTGGCTCTTTAAAGGAATCAGGTCTCATTCTTTGGCCCTCATTGACAACATCATACATATCTCAGTGCAGTCACCGGGTTTAACCTCATGCAGATAGTTTGAATGTTTCCAGTAAAACACCCTAAGTGTCAGAGGACAACTTCTTTTGTACCATTTACACACACCATTTACACACAGGTTGCATCAGTGAGCGCAGCGCCATCTCCTCTCATTGTTATCCCTTTTTTTGTGTATTTTTTAAAATGTTCCACACATTTTATGCCCTGCAACAAAGCTGGGAGCGAGATTCAACACTGAGCTTCAAAGACAAGAGAACTGTAACAACAATAATTTATTTATGAAATATTCAACGGTGCCACAACTTTGTTCAGAGAGGTAACGTTCACTCTTCAAACCCCCGTCATGTCCACACAACACACAGGATGATTTTAGGATAATATGCGTTTGTGAGAATAAAAAAAAAAAAAACTCTGCTGAAGTTATGAGAGCAAACATTGACACACAAAAGTGAGCGCTGAGCCTGAAGTTAAAAATCCTAATCTTTGGGTTGTCGGAAGACGTCACAGGTCATTTTCACCATAGCACTGGACCCCAGGTGCCGCTGTAGTCCCACAGGTAGGGTCTGTACTGATAGGCTTTGCAGAAGGAGCTGATAAGGGATGATCGGACCAGCTCCTCGCTCAGGCCCAGTCCTTCTGCTTTGTACACGTCCTTACAGAACTCGGAGGTCTGCTGCTTGCGTTTGGTCTTGTACCTCCGGTTCTGAAACCAGATTTTCACCTGGGTCTCGGTCAGTCTTAAGGTGCTGGCCAGGTGAGCCCTCTCCGGGGCGGACAGGTACTTCTGGTGGTTAAACTTCTTCTCCAGTTCGAGCACTTGCAGATGTGTAAAAGCGGCTCGGGAGCGCTTCTGTTTCCCTGTTGAGGCAAAACTCGACTCTGAAGAGCTGGAGTAGGACGTGTCCAGAGGATCTGTAAAGTACAGGATGAACATGTGTCATAACACTAATAATAATAATAATAATAATAATGTTCTCCATGTAGTCTGCATAGAAGTGATGCGGTCCACTAGGTTCGTGGTCCTTAGAGTGTAAACTACCCAAACTGTCGAGAGACTTTTAGCTTTAAAACTCATTAAAAGAATTTTCCTTAATAAATACCATAACTTTAATTAAAGTGGTTCTAAATCACACATCTGGTCAGTGTAAAACATGTATGGATTTTCTGTCCACATACTACTTTCCAGAGCCTGCAGAAGCTCACCTGTCTGCCTTCCAAACGTTGACTCCTCAGCACAACCTTGTGCTGACAGATTTTCAGAATCCTCCCCCCACTGCGAACACCTTTCCATCTTCGGCAAGCAGCATTTGTCCCGAAATCCTGCGCCGTCCTTATTGGACAGGATGTCCTCGATGAGGAAGGATGTCACCGGTTTGGCTGTGTCAGACATTTCCATCCAGTAATCCAGGAACCGGATGCCCGCTCGCTGTCAGAGAGCCGATTGAGCCGGCTGAGGCAATGTGTGTCCTCACACACTCACAAGGTCTGAATTTATACAAGTGGAGGGGAGGGCTCGTCCCTGTGAAAGAGGCGGGCCAACTGTGCCGAGCTTACTTTTTTTGTGTTTGCCCTCCACAGACAAATGTAAAGAAGATTTTAGGATCGGCAAAAGATGACTCATCATCAAGGAAAGTAATCAACCTTTCATTAAAAACACGTTGGTGATTTATGCATGATAATTCTAAAAGGGGACATAGTGAAATAGTTGAAATTTGTGCCATTAAAAGTTAAGTGCCATTAACTTACAAGTTCATGAAACATTGGTTGATGATAAAAAATCATCACTTTACTTTATAATTCAATTAGATGTGAATTATTATTAGTTCTCTATATGGAAAAATATGACGGTTGTATGCTCAATATATGGATTTTAATACTGAGATGGAGCCCTGTGTTTACAATGACGCTATACGACTGCTCTCATACTTGGAAAGGAAGTTAATGACGTATATTCATGTGAACTAGCTGTGGTATGACAGCAAATCTGAGAGCTTCTGTGGTGCAACACAGAGCTCCTTGATGGGGGCAATACTCCCTGCTCCGGGCGGGACTATTATCTGGGAATGTGGTGCCTTAGTAGTTAAATGGATTTATGCTTTAATCCTCACGCCTCCATCAGCACAGCGCCATAACCCAGCGGCCTCGGGGAGACAGCACATTCTGCCCTGGAATGGCGGCGGGTGTGTGGAGGGGGGGGGGTCAGAGTGGGTGGCCGAACCTCTGGGAGCACTAATGAGTTTGACACATTTCGGCCGGCTCCTGAATGGACACACTCATTGTTCACCGGCTGTTTATTTGTTGTTCTCTGCGGCTCGGCCTGACCTCTCTGCAGCATCGGAGGTGTTTACTGGAGGCGTCTTTGTCGCTCTGGGATTTCAAGCTTCATTAGGAAATGCATGGACGCAGGTATGATAAACATGACCCCCCGCGCACCCCTGAGTCCCGCTGACTCCAACTTTCTTTTGCCAGCCACAGTGTCAGCGGGGAGTGGCAGTGTCACCACAGCTTCAGTTTAACATCCGTCCTGTTTGAGGTGCAGTACTCATGTGTAAATGTGTCTGTATAGAGCTGTATTTTTGACCATGCATAGCCACACTGATCCCAGAACAGCGTATGCGTCACAAAAAAACACATCCTCTTTAAATGCACTAAGGTTTTGCCTTTGTGGAAGCTGCTGTCTGGTAAACACAGCATTTAGATCATGGGTGTGATATGTTTTACCCCGACCCGGTCTGCGACTGGCTGTCTGCACAGGTATGTTGAGCTGTAAGCACAGGGAGACTTTACCCCCCCCCCCCCCCCCCCCACCCAACCACCCGTCTAGACACAGCTTTTTCTCCTCTCACTCTTCAAACATCTGAAGAAAAGGAAAGTCGTTTGACTTTTAAATTCCTCTAAAAACGAATGGTTTATTTAAAGAGTAGGCCATGCGAATGTCCAATCAGCAACTCCCGGTTGGGTTTTAAGAGGCTCGCCCGTTGGGATGGAGGCAAAACCTCGTGTGTTCGGAAAAACAACGAGCACGAGCACAAAGCCTGCCGTGTGAGTAGGCGGCTTGGTTGTTTTGGGATAGTGCATCATGTTTTAAATGTCTTTTTTGAAGCACCACCCAGTGCTGTCATCCCTGCCCTTATTCTGTGACAATCCACATGATTGCTCTCTGTTGAAACCGGGGGAATTTCTTTTTTTATTTATTGTGCTCTAAGCCTTTGCCGCACAGATCTGTTGCCGCACAGCCCCTGCCTCAGATGTGACACGGCTGAGCCTCCGACCTTTTAGCCCAGGAAGGCATTTGTCTTCCACCCAACAATTCATGTGGTGACAATGTTTTCTTTGAGCCACTGAAACTTGTGCTATCAGTGTTCTGCTTTTTTTTCTCTCCTGTTTCTTTGTCTGAGATGACGAGTAAAACGTCCGTGCTGAAACTACACAGTAGATCCGTCAGACTCTCCTCAGGTTTCAGAGATGTCCCTATTGTGTTTTCATAATGGCACGTTGACACACAGGTCGATTATAGCTGGATCTACTCGTTGCTTATCAATGGTTTCGGCCTTAGTTCTTCTTTGTGGGACGTTGACCCAATCTGTTCGTCGAGATGTTTGGCCGACCTGCACGTGCCGCTTGTTCGAGGTTTATGAAATTAGTCCGAGGTGAAGTGGATGGTATTAAATACAGAAGAAAATCTGCTGCACTGTGAGAGAAGTGACACTGGTGTAAACGGTCAGGGTTCAAAATGACAGTGACCCTGAAAGTAGTGCAAAGACAACATTCCAATAGTTTTTGGTGAGACACTTTTCAGAGATCTTGGAAATGCATTGTGAGAGGCCCCACTTCAAAATGAGTTGGAGCATTTGGCTCGGTTTATAGATTACTATATAAGCGTCCTGGCCTGGATTAGTTTTGTTTTGAGATATCAGTGAAGAGATAGCCGTGTAAGAAGACAGTTTGTAGCAGTGATTGTTGCTGAAGGAGTCTCAAAGTCTTGACATCACGGCTTGATAGTTCGGGCATGTTGTGATGATAAAAAGAGGCCTCAGAAAATCAGTATTTAACTTTTGACTGAAATAAAAGAAAAACACATATGATTTCCGTAGTAATAAAGTTAGACAGATACAATTATTTTCTCATGTTCAGTTTTTTGTTCAGATAGGTTGACTTACAGGATGAATCCATTCTTAACAGACAGAAGCTCCTCAGATCAACTTCTGGGAAACTAATTGTGGTCCTCCCATCATCGTACATACGATAAATGGAGTTAGGATTTTTCCACTTAGCCATGAATGCTGATTGTTGCTGATTATTTGTTTGTCTTTATAGGCTTTTATATTACACCGAGCTTCTTATGTTAACAGTAGCACAAGTCAAAATCCTGACAAGCTATTGAAACTGGATTTCCTCTCCTGCTTTTTGTCTCCACACATGAATGTGATGCCACTTTCCCACTAGAGGGAGCTTTAAAGTCAGTTATCAGGTTTGCAAAGAGGAGCTTCAGCTGCCACATCATGCAAAAGAGCGATTTACCTCCAACTTCTCAAGATGTTGCGATGAAACTTTCCCTTTGATACATCATTTTATTTTGGATGATCTGTCTGACTTAGCAGCTATACGGAGTTCAGCACAAGACAGGGAACCACGGGATTTGTAAATCATCTCAGCAGTAAAAAAATAAATAAAATCTCAGAATCACACTGGTGTGTCAAGGATTTGATCCTAACAGGGTCTTATCTGTCCCTCTAAAGCTGGTGGAACATAAGCTGGTGGGTGTGATGGCTCTTTCACCCACGTCATCCTCTATACAAATGGACCCTCATCCCAGCAGTGTAATCAAATGAAAAAAAGAAACATCTATCATTCACGTATCTTCCCTCTTGTTCACTCTGTCCTAACAATGCAACAAAAACTATTCCAACTTGAAGATGCTTTAAGGTGTGTAGCTATTTCAAAGGTATGTACACAGATCATTTCTTTTCTTGTTGTTATCGTTAATACAGGGACTCCCAGCATGTTATTTTTTGCAGCTTTGTTTGGCTTGAAAATATCAGAGGATATCATCTTAAAGCATAACTCTTCAAAACTCCTGGAGCAGACTGAAATGAAGGACAAGCTCACATAGACCCAGCTGACTAAAACTCATGTGTGAATTCATAAGTGAGTAACCAAAGAAATACACACAAATGTGTGTGTGCATTTACTCAAATAAATTATTTAGGGATAATGTTTACATAATTTGATTTGTTTTTGAGTAATTTTATTTGGCTCTTCTTACAGAATTCAACTCCACCTCATTTCAAAGATGAATACTCTGTAGAGGGCTTTTTCTGAGTTTTACTGATTTATTTCTCTTGATTTCTCTACATCCGGTGGTCAAACAACTGCTCAAAATGCTTCTTTAAAAAAATTTAATCTTTGATGGTTTCAGGTATTTTATTGAAGACATTTCAAAGATTGTTTTCTTTCTTTCCCAGGCCTCTGTTTAACTATCTTCATTATGTAGCTTAAACGACTTCAGCCTTCATTTGTGACTGAAAATGACAGGACAAAACTGGACGAAAAGGCAGGACGTACATTTATTAGGATTATCGTGAAACTTAACGTAGGATTTTAAGTGCACCATTTTCACCAAATGGACTCTTACGTGATCCGTGGAAGAGCTGACCTAAAGGCTGGTCACTAAACGTGGCCACACAGCACGATCAAAAATATGCCAGATCTTAAGATTCGCTCTTTTTGTTTAAAAGAGATAACAGACAAAATAACTACCATTTCAAAACCACATGTTTTCCTCTCTTTCTTCTCTCTCTCTCTCACACACATGCGCACACCCACGCATCATTATCTGATCTGCCGGTCTCCTCTCTGTCTACAGCTTTATTCTTATCTGCCTATGAGAGCTCCTTGAGCTCCTCTGTCCTCCAAGAACTGTTTCTCCCACTCGGCCTTTTTCGGATCAGCGGCCACGTACATTAAAAGTGATACACAAGCTGTTCTCCCCCTCCCCCTCATAAATCAGACGAGTAATTTTGCAATACACTAAATGTGTATTTTCATGCACGCAAACCGGAGAGAAGCGTCTTTTTGCGCACCGGACTGAGCGACACTTGCAGAGCGTGTGTGTGTGAGACTGACACGTCCGACTGGAACTGATTCTCGTTTGGTCGAAAGTTTAAGAAGGGGAGGGAAGAAAAAAAAAGTTTAAGAGCCACTCTGTCTGCGGGTTTGTTTACCAAGCAAAGCTCCGGGACAGGAGCAGCTCTCCAGCCTTATCTGCGCGCCTCTGTGAATGGGACAATGATGAGCCGGGTCTGATAGAGCAGAGCTGTCAGGTCAGATGTCAGCTCATCCATTAGCTGTTCGATGGCCTCCTTTGATTAACCTCCATAACTGGTTTCTGATCAGGTATGTTGGTTTTTCATATTGGACATGACAACATCTCGACTGGAGTGTGGCCATTTTGTCAACAGCATCCTGCGAGCCTTCTTTAAATGAGTGTCCCCAAAGGACAAATATGATGATCTGAAAACGTATTCAAATGATTAGATTGATCGTGTGAAACGTAAATTAAAAGCTAATTCTCGCGAGTTTACCCGGAAAAATAGGAAAAACCTATTTTTAAACCATTGTTATTTTTCGTCTTTAATATAAAAAAAGTCACACTTGTTATTATGTGTGCGAGATGTAAAATAATAGGAAAATAAGAAATCATGCTAACCAACATTATACTTAATGGTGCTTTTTTTTTTTAGGAGGGGGCGTGGGGCGTATTGAAAATCCTATAATGGAGGTTAGTTCCACACAAAACAAGCGTGTGAACGTAAAGTATTTGATTTTGTAATATTGGATAAACGTCCGCTAACACCAGGCAAACGCAGCCTGGAACTGTCCGTGGCCCAAAGGCTCCTCGGTGCGCGTAACATCCAGCTGGCTGCCGGCGGGCCTGTGCGCGGGGGCCGGGGGGGACGCGCTGTGGTGCGAGCATCCGAACGGGCTGCTGACCCCACACCCGAACACCGGACTGCAGTGTCCGGCCGTCAGGCCGAAGGCCGGCGGGCCGCAGAGCCTCCCGTCGCGCACCAGCACCGGCACGGCCACGCGCCGGACGGGCGCGGGGGGTTGGTACCCGGCCAGCTCCAGGGACTGGTCCTGTCTCTGGCGCTTGCACTTGTACCTCCGGTTCTGGAACCAGATCTTGACCTGGTTGGAGGTGAGCTTGAGCGCGCGCGCCAGGTGCTCGCGCTCCGGCGCGGACAGGTAGCGCTGCTGGCCGAAGCGCCGCTCCAGCTCGGACACCTGCCCCTGGGAGAAGAGGACCCGCGGCCTCCGGCGCAGCGCGGCTCCGCGTCCGGCCTCAGGGGAGCTGTCAGCGCCGCTCCGCTCCGCTGCTTTACCACCGGAAAAAGAGGCAAATTAAGACGTAAAAGTCAAGAAGTTTTACAAGTCACATTTGCTGAAAACGCTGGTTAACCAGTTTTCTAAAACAAGACCATTTTTGGGAGGATGCCGATAAGTTTTCTTTCAGCCCGTATCCAACTGGCCTAAATCTTATTTCAATATTAGAATAAAATCCCATTAACTTTAAAAAGCAAATGTAATAATTATTGTAATAAAAACAGACTTCAAATTAGAAACTTAATTAGTTTAAGAGCATTCCCAAAACCAGAAAACATCAACTTCAGGGCAACGTTTTGGAAACTTTGTTGATACAGTTACACGCGGGCCTCAACACATTTGTACATTAAAATTTCTATAAGACGTTTTTCTTTCAGTTGGAGTGAGGTTGGGAATGCAAATGTGGGGATTCGTATGATTTTACATCCACGTTCCATTTGAACACGTCAGCCTGAAAACGATCCCAAAGTCAATCTAAGAATTAGGCTGAATAGGATTCAGCCTCTCACCCTTTTCGTGAGTTTCTTCTGCTCCAGATGTGTGAGTCCTCAGCTTTCCCTGCGTCCCAGAGTCCAGCTGCTGGCTTTGACAGGCGTAAAGGTCGCTGCGTCTGGACGCGGCGTGCACGTGCTGGTGGTCAGGCATCGAGACAAGACGGTTCGTCATCAAAAAAACATCTTCAAAGTGGTGCTCTAGCCTTAAAATGTCCCGTACTGAAAAAGGCGTGGAGGTTGTGGAACCGGGATGCATCCTCCAGAGCATGAGCCGCCGCTGTGCGTGTGATGTTTGCGCACGGTGAGCTGGAGCTGCTGCTGATGCTGCCGGATGGAAGTCCTCAGCCACCGATGAGTGAAGGGAGATTTAAATCATTCAAGGGTCCCGCGGCTAATGAACAAGGGAGATAGATATCAGTCCCCGTCTGACCAACACCCAGTGGGTTCTGCTGCTCCCTGTCTTCTCACCTTACAGGAACACAGCTCACCATGTCCTCTCTTCTGTCAGGGTGAGGTGGTGTAATTAAGAAGCTTATTTAAGAAATTAGACGTCTGACAACAAGTTGATGGTTGCCCAACTTCAACAAGGTTTCTGAACTCTTTTCATTCCTGGAAAGGACACATTTCCCAGTGATACATGATTGGTTCATCTAATGAAGCATATGATCAAGCTCTTGTTTTAGGGACGTTTAATTTGATGTCTTATGTATCAAATCAATAGCTTTCTCAGACTATTTTTGTTTTTAAAAATAAACAATTACATGTCGCATCGAAATTTCACAGCACTGTTGCAAACAAATGAACGCATCACATGCAAAGAAATCTTATAGATATAATTCTTTTTTTTTTTTTCTTCCTGAAAGTGTCCACACCAAACCACTCTTTTGGTGAGCCAATAAGCCGCTTAATCAGCACAGACGTCCTCCGGGGTTGAGTGATCTCGGCTGATGTCGAACAGCTTTGCCACAGACATTGTTTTCCAGCCATGTTCTAAGCGCTCTCAGGCCACAACAAACAGTAACATTACACCTGATGTTGTGGAAGTGGCGAGCCAGCGGCGCCAGCCTGCGATGCTTGACTGAGGCCGAGACGTGCGTCCACAGAGACAGGAACACGGACAGACACGGCCTGTCCCAGGCCAGGAGATATATGGAGGAGTGTGTGTGTGTGTGTGTGTGTGTGTGTGTGAGAGAGTGTTTATAGGAGGATGTTATTAAATATGTTGACAGGGTCCATCATGGGACAAACAGAGTCACAACAGGATGACACAACCAGAGCCATAACATTTGGAGAATTTAACTTTCCAAAAAATCCTTAATGATTTCAATTGAATTTGATCATTTAGCCAATAAATAATTAGTTATATATGGAACATGGAATAAATAATTAATCAGTTGTCATGCCTGCAAACTGGATTGATCAATCATTCGATTAGAAATATATCTATAAGTCAGTCATATCAATCATGTTCTTCAAAAGTGGGTCCTGAAAGGGAACAGGATCAGAAACGTGTTTACATAAAAAGGCTTTACTCTTTGTGGTGGTACATAGTGCTGAGTGGTTTCTTGCAGACAGTACCTCATAATCATCAGATGATCTCTTACTCTTTGTGATCCTAAAATAAAGAGGGGGTATTCAACCTGTTTCTGAGGACTTGCTTAAACTCTTATCTCCTCAAGGGCCCACCTGCCCTCCTGCCAGGTGCTGTGTAATTCTGACCGTTCAGTTTAAAGTACATCTTTACTTAATGACTGATCCTCTCACTCTGGCCTTTCCCTCTTCTTATTGAGGACCTCTTGTGACAAATGACAATCACTGTTCTAACATTTATAGTGATGAAAAACAGGAAGGAAATGTAAAAGAGGAAAATGGTTGAAAGAAAGGGATATGTTTTACTTATGGATAAGCACTGTTCAGATAACTCAAAAAGTAACCTCCCAGAACATTAGGACTACTGGAAGGTACACAAAAGGTATTCAGTAATGAGGCATGAGAGAAATTACAAGAAAATGTCAGTATAAGGAGACTTAGATGTGTCACTCTGGCAGTTAAAGCGGAAAGACCCAGTAAACGACACTGACCATGAGTGATGCTTTTCTCCCCATAACTCTTTTGTGAAGAGGGTTTTGTCAAAAAATGTGACATCTGAAACAATAAAACCTCTCTGCTGAGTGCTCAAAGGTTGTTTGAGCCACACCTTTGTTTTCATCAGCACAAGTTAACTTACGGTTTCAAGTTTCAGATATTTCACCCGATCTGGCCTCACTATGAGCATTAGTTCAAAGGCTGTTTTTCTGCCCACTTCAGCGGAAGGCTTCAGCATGTGAGGCGAGCTTGTAAAATCAGGCTAAAAGCAGGTGGAAAGTTAACATCACAGGAAGTTTAACGGAAATGTTTCTGGTAGATGGGTAAATGCAGAAAAGATGGCAAATCAATGGCATTTTTATCTTATCAATAGTTGGAAGGAGCTGGTTAAATCAGAACAGCTGGTGTGGATGTCATGTCGTGCACCATTACGTGTTTCTACAAGTCCAAAACATCCTGTGCTGTCATTCGTTCACCATTTGCACACATAATTTAGATTGTATCAAAGTCAAATTTTTAGGGTATTTTCAATTATACCGTCCTTTTTTGAGGTAATAAACGAGCAGTCTTAATGATGCCAAAAGCTGCAAACATTAGCAAAGATATTTAATGCACTATACAGTCTTGATATATCCCTTAGTTACTTAAAATCAGTTGGAGCGGTCATGGAGAATAACCGACAAATTTTCAGGGCAAATAAAACTTAATAAATAAATAAAATAGAAATGCTGTGTGTGTAGCTGAAGCTGAGTTTTTGAAGGCTAGTTGCAGTGTGACCAGAAGGCCTATAAACACACAACTCCTGTACCTTTTACTAAGTTTGCAACGTGTTCTTTTAGTTTTATATGATTTTTATATGATTTTCTTTAGGATTAAACAGAATGTGAACCTGTTTAAAGTCCACATGCCCCAACTTGGGCCCTTAAAAAAAACAACTCCACCATGATCAAACCAAACATTGTGCTATTTGACCACAATCAAAGATGATAGTCGACGATAGTAATTTCTTGATGATTTCTCATAGATCCTGTCATGATCAAATGATCATGAATAATGATAATTATGATAATAATTAATGACTGACCAAGTAGTTAATTATGCCATTATTGTCTGTTCAAGTAGTGGAAGAAAATAACACTTCTCAGTCCACAAGTGAGGCATGATGTGTTGAAGGGATGCCTAGTTCAATAACAGACCCTGAGGACAGGAATAATTGACACAAACCCAGGTGTGGGATACAGGCAGGTGCAGCGTGAACTGAGTATCATTACCAAGTGGCAGGAATAGTGAACAGGAACATCTGTTTGGGTCAGAAGCCCCAAAGTGAAAAATAAGACATGCCTTAAAGGTAGTGGAGATGGAGCTCGAATCCTGGGAGACTTCCAGATCCTCCAGATCCAGACCGACACACAAGTGATGATCTACCACTTTGGTGGTCGAGAGAATTACGATCTCAAAATGAACAACTACAAGAAAGAACAAGCGGAAGTAAAAAAATATTAAGAACCAAAAAACAAAGTTGAGACGATCTAGAGGTAGAATAAAGGTAGAATGGGTGGCAGCGATCATCAAAGCCCACAGAGATGTGACCCCCAAACTGGGGGTGATAACACACATGGACTTTCTCAGCAGACAACAAGGACAAGAACTCACGTCCAGCGGTTTAACATCTGGTGCTCAAAGATGCTCATTCCCAGTGAGTGCGCCATCTGTCGTCAACACCTGAATCCCTCCTTCGCTGTCCAAGTGGAGAGGTGTTAGAGGTGTTAATTTTCTAATGAAAGCACAAAACACACTTATGATATTAATGATGTCTCCTCATCAAAATTCCAGGTTTGCTACTTAGATTTCCTTGTGATCTCACACCTCAGCGACTAGCAAGACAAGGAATGGTTTAAACTTCTTCAATCAATTTCTCAGCTTCATTTTTGTTGTGTGTTATATGTCTCATCTTTAACTTAATTCAGGACATGATTCCACTCTGGTGCTTCAGCAGGTTAATGATTCCCAAACATTAGGATTACACATTATCCACCACGTCATCTGGACTGGAACAGAAAGCTGCTTCAGAATGCTTTGTTTTCACAAAAGAAAAAAGCTCCTTAGTAAATCTATTGGGCTGTCCTGTTTTGGAATGCGCACACAGAGCTTTGGGCATATTCTATACACCACATTCCCCTCAAGGCCCCTTCGGGTAAGTTTTTAGAATTTAGTTTACTTTCATTTGCCTTACTTTGATTATCTTTTATAGATTGTTATATTGTCTGTGCTCAATGGACCAGCTTGTTCCGAGGCTGAACAAGCTTTTTTATTCAGCCAAAGGTCAGACAGAACCTCAAAAACTGATGCACAGCTCACCTTTTCAATGTCATTCTATGAAACAAGCTGACAAACCAAGAAACCTGAACTCCAAAAGTACAGGCAAAAAAAATACTGTTTGACACCTTGGCCATTTTAGCATGTCTCAGTTGATGGGTTAATTACTTAATCACTGCAGCAGTGTTCCCTGAAGCCTCAAAGCAATTCTCTCCCCTACTTTTCCGGGACTTTGATGACTTTGCTTAGGTCATCAAACCCCTTCCCACTGATTCTATCACATGTGCCCTCACTGTAACATAAGAGGTAAAGTTTACCACAACCACCCCTAATTCATCATAGAGCAAAATAGGAGTCTGATAGCTGCTGAAAGCCTAGATAGAGTCAACTTACAAGGAGTGAAACTGAACCCAACTCTCCTTTGGCCAACATGTAACTGAAGGTCCTCATCAAAATCCTGTGTGACAATGACGTTTCTATTCAGGAGAGAAGAAGACTTCTCAACTTAGAGTACGAGCTTGTTCAATAGTCATGAGATATGGGAACATTTTCTAACATTCCATAGGATATGCACTGTGGTTTGGACAGGAACTTACTAATGCTCAAAGATGGCACTTAGAGAAGGATGTGTAGGTAGTTCAAAAACTGAAGAGCACCTGAACCACTTTCATTTCCACAACCAGTGAATACAGCTCTAGGAAATAATAACTTGTGAGTTCTACTTTCCTGCACACTTTTAACATTTGGATA